TTGCCCCACCTCTGTGACTGAGTCCAGCCTGCTGCTTCTGCATAATTTGCATATATTAAGTTATATACCTTAATGCATTACAAATTTGAGCTTCAGCATTATTTTTATATGGCAAAATCTAGTTTGATTAGAAACTAGTTTACATATTGCTCTAGAGTTGAGAGAGGGGAAAACATAATTAAAATTTCCTTTCAGAATGGCAACCTAATTCCACATACAGAAGGGAAGTTCACATTTTTTCCTATAAAATAAGTGAATTACAAAAGCTTGAGTTGTTTGCCATAAGGAAGTGCTGATTGTCATGTGATGTGGAGCGTCATTTTTATTATTTTGGCAAGAACAGGGACAGTTTTGTCTTGACAAGCCATTAGATGAATACCAGCGTGTGTCACATGAAAAACCACTGATCTTTAACCCAGCTCTGTACTTAACCAAGCCTTGAAAATGAATAGTGAATAAAAGGAAGAGCAAAGGCCAGTTTACTGTCATTACAGATTACAGAATCTGTTAACAGCTGCTGAACTGAACCCAGGGAATTACAGGTATTGTCCTGAAAACCAGTAGAAGTCCTGGAGATGCTTCTTAAATTGTATACACAAACTATACATTTATTTTATATTTGCTCCGGATTTACATTGTTGGAAACATAGCTAGAAAAAAAAAATCCTTGAGTACTTTCTCAGTGTAGTGCATGTGTGCCTTTATCACAAAACCATATGTATTTACAAAGAACAGTCTCAGTGAAGTTTTTCTGCTCCCAGTTATAGAACTTAAGAAAGCAAGGGACTTTTAAGGAACAAAATAGAAAGTATGCAGGGTTCCTCCCCTTAAAACCAAAACAGAACAAAATGCACCCCACAAATATTTATGCAGAGCAAGATCTTTTCACTTGCTTCTTTTCATATGGTGGCTGGTTTTTGCGTCAACATGTGATTTATTTATTTATATATTTGTTTTATTTATCATTTTTAGAAGATGGAAGAAAAGGTCTAAAACCCACCTCAGTACCCAAATATTGAAAAGATCAGTAACATTTTAAACAGTCAGTTGTGGGAATTACTGCTTACAGAGCTAACAAGAAAGAACACACTTTCTTACTCTGCTGGTGGGATTGCATCCTGCCTCCCTATAGTCTTGTTATCCCACACTAACTGAAATGCAAATTCTTTGGAACTAATTGGATCTCATTGAAGGTACATGCACAGTGTGTAGTTAGTTACATGCAAAAAGGTTTTAAAAAATAAAAATTTCCCGTAATTACAACTTTTAATTACTATCTAAAGCATTAGAATCTATAGTATGGTTTAGAATATATATGTCTTGACTTTTTAACAGATTACTAAAAACCAAACATGACTTACAAAATGCTTGATAAGGTGCCCATTCAAAAGTTACAGAAAAAAAAATGTTTAATTGCAGCAATCTGTAAATTGGATTTTATTAAACTCCTCTGAAAATGTTTTTTTTTTTTTTCAAGTTTAGAATTTAGTATCTTAGGGCCAATATATTCTACTGACGGCATGTTAAAAGTGCAGTCCTTTTCTTGGAACATTTTAAATGTTAAAATATTATAAGCATCAGAAATCACTTTCAAAAGTTGAACCTACTTTACCATTGTGGAAGGTATTGAGTTTCTTACTTTGTGTATTTGTGCTACAGATTGTGATGAGGGGAGATGGTCACATTCTCACAATATCTTTAATAATTTTGGTGTCATTAGACCTACTTGATGTACTACTTATTTCACATGGTCCATCTCTAACTATCAGGAAATCTGAGAAAGCTAACACATGGCCTATGGTACTTGTGGTCTTTTAACCTGAAATACCTGGATAGACTCAGGGCAGCAGAAAGCAATCATTGTGGAAGTGACATCCATTTCATTCCCCTAGTTTTAAATAACTTTGTTATACAAATGATTCCAGATAGTTACTCCCTAATTTCCAGAATAAATAACCAATGAAAAGACTCAAGACATCTTTGTGCTTTGTAGGTTTTTTTGGGGGGTGGGGTTGGGTGGGGTGGGGGACCTGTGTCCTTACAATAGTTCAAGTCTCTCTCCCTTGCTAGAGAAAATTATTCTAAGATCAAGGATTCTATACTTCATATTCTATATGGAAGTGAGTGGAAAGTTCATATAATGTATTTTGGGCATTTCTAGAGGGGTCAAATTTGTATTTTCCAAAACTTACTTAAAAGAAGATTTATAAACTTAAAATCTACAAAAAGCACAACATGTTTTATCTTACATATTCATTTATGGGTAAATCTTTGGGTTGTCTCTTATTAAAACTTGTCCTCTGAACTAGTCTTATCAACTAGTGAAGATTTTGTTTGACCAAATCAGTTTAGCAGATGAAGTCTCATATATTTGCTGTGAACATATTTTTTAAACCTTAGGAAGATATCCTGGTGTCTTAAAGGCGTGGCTCTGGCAGTAAAATCTAGGTAATAGTTACATTGCAGACCTGTCCAGCTAGAGCAGCGTTAGACCCTGCCTGCTATCTAAAGAGCTCAGTTTGCCTACTGTGGGTAGCATTTTGTCAGAAGACTGCTGGCTGGGCATACCAGATTTGGATGTATTAGCTAGTCAGCCTAATAACCCTGTACAGACTGTATTGATTTTCTAGGAGAGAGTTTATGAACTAAATAAACTTGGGGTTGGTGTCTTAATAAACTGCTTCTCTCAGTCTGTCACATTTAGTTACGGAGCTGTGCAGTTTAGGGGGAAAAAAGGCTAATTCTGTTACAGATTGTTCACAGCAGGGTCTCCAAATTAGCCCTTTGTTTTGTAATGCCACCTTGCTTGGGCTCGCTTTGAGCACATTTCTCAGTTTTGCCCTAATGAGTTGCAACACTGATAATGTGGCTGATGATCTTTCATTGATTTCACTATCACTTGCTTGTCTGGTAATTGATCCGTTGCTGAGCCTCTAGTTAATTATATCGGCTTTGACATGGCCCGGTCCATGGGGAATTTCAAGTCTTGCAGAATAACAGTTTTAATAAAAGAGTCTATTACTGCAGGTGCTTGCTGCTGCATGCCAGTTGATTTTTGTGTTGTTAGTGTGTGTGTGTGTGTGTGTGTGTGTGTAGGATACCTGGAAAGAAGAGGATTGCAGGACTGAAAGAAAAAAGGGGTGGGGGCTGGCAAAAGAGGAAGAGGGAGTGAAGGAGAGGAGGAAGGAGGGGGAGAGGCAAGGAGAGAGGGAGAGTGAGAGGGAGAGGCGAGAGAACACGCAGGCAAAGCGATACAACAGAGCATGAGTGGAGCGAGGAGGAAGCTTGCTATTGACAGTGTCCTTAAGCCTCCCACAAATAACAGCCATTAGTGGGAAGGTCAGGAGCTGAGCAGGCAGCTTGACTGAGGCACTGAGTGCCACTTCAGAAATCAAGAGGCTAGCAAATTTTAGAGGGAGTTTAAGTGGGTAATAGCTAGCAGTAAAGGTACAGTCACCGTTGACAATTGACTCATAGGGGCTTTTCCCGTCTCCCCCCCCCTGAAGAATATTTTTATTGACCACAGGTGGACTTAATATATTTTAAGGCAACAATTCTTTGGGTTCTTGTTTGTTTCCTCTCAGATATTGAATTTGCTTCTTTTGAGACTTTTTTGTGCTTAATGGTGGTGAACTGGAGGGAAGTTTAACAGAAAAGCTTTCAGGAGATGTCGGTTCTAGAGGAGAAGGCACATTTGTGTCAACATAGTGTACGTTTTCTCATCTTTTCTCATTGTCCACTAATGACACAGAGCTGCCATTGAAGCTCTTTTCTGTTTCTTTTGTTGTTTCCAAGAGTAAGGTTTATTGTTATTCTTTAGTTAAGAAGGAGCAAGGAGAGTGGTACATTTGTCCTCGATATTTGTAGGTGGTTGAAGATTAATGTTCCTTACATTTTAAGTTTAGGAGGGATGGCTTTTTCCTGCTGACTACTTTTATGAGATGGCATGAATTTAGCTTTCCATTTTGAAGTTACAATGTTTATGTACAGTGAATTTTGCTCAGTTTTGCTTTTCCATAAATAAGGCCGATAAATATTACCTAATAAATAGATGTTTTGTTTTAAAACTGGTTTAATTAAAAATACAACTTGCTATCAAGGCTATATTTCATAAAGCAGAAAAAAATATGGTAGAATTTTCCATAGAAATTTTGAATGAAAAATCGAGTTTTTATATTTATTACTTTTTACAGGCTTCTTTCTTCCCTCTCTTTCTTTTTTATGATTTGAAAGGATATTGTAGATGCTTCATTCAGGAACTTTAATAAAGGATTTTGTTCTACTTTTGAGCTTTAAGGTACACTTTTTTCCTTTGCCATTCAGTTTCTTATTACTTCATCTCCAGTTTAGTAATTGATGGCCTGAGGTACAAAATAGCAAGTAGTATATATTAATTTTGCAAATATGTATTGTCCATTTCATGTTAAACTGCTAGGTTTACTTGTTTACTCTTTAGAATATAAGGTCAAGTCTGTATGTATGTTATTTTCTCTATGAGTTTTTATGTGGTTATAAATAGCCCAGCACATACTATCTGACTAGATAACATTTAGACAACAACTGAGCCAACTTTACATTCTCTTCCAGCAGAATATTTTACTTTCTTCCTGTATAATTAAAAAAACATACTTACATATCACAGTTTTAGAAATGTTAAAGCAAGGACTGGTGTTGTATATTGCATGTTATATCAAAAAGCATTGTTGGGGAAAAATGGAGGGGAAGGGCCCCAGCTTCCCCTCACCCTGCGCACAGGGATCCTGGCACTGCTTGGAGTGTGCCTCAGTGTGTATGTATCTGTGTGTCTGGAGGGGTTAGTGCAGGGTGTCATTTGGTGCCTGACAGTGGAACAGTGCAGTTGACTCTTAGCTCTGCTATCCAATGACATGCAGTGGCTGAGGGTTTGAAGCTGATGGTTGGGTCTCCAGTGCTGCCTGCACACCTGACAGGCAGCTGTTAAGCTGAGCAAAGGCAAGCTTGGGGAGTCGCAATCTATGCATAAATGATAGGGATATCTGTGCAGAAGGTGCGAAGGAAGCTCTGACCCCCTCCCTCCCCCAAATCTTCCCCTTCCCAAATGAAATGCACAGTTCAGGCAGCTTCTTAACTACACTACACTCCTGCTACTGGCTGCCAAGAGGCTCAAAAAATCCACCTTCACTTTTCAGTCAGAAGAGGCAGAAGTGGATGTGAGAGAAAGAGAGACACAGAGAGACAGAGAGCCAAAGAGGGCAAGAGACTTGACTTTAAGAGACTCCTGTACTGACAACTCCATGCAGTTCGGAACCAGAACGACTCCGGCTGAACCAGGGTTCATGGGGACATGGCAAAACGCTGATACTAACCTCTTATTCAGAATGTCCCAACAGGTAAGTTACTTTCATTTTTTTTTTTTTTAAAGAAACCTCGAATTGTCTTGTGCACTTTTGTTACTGGTATTTTTCTTCCATGTTTTTGAAAATGTGATCACTTCATAGGCTTTGTTTTGTCATAACTGTTATTGGAATGTGCAGCGTTACTTCATGGTTTCCCAAAGGGCTCCTTAAAAGAAAAAGGGGAAAGGATACTGAAGTAAAAGAAAACCAAGGCATTTGTTGCAAAGTTTCACAGTACAGCCTGGGTCATGCGAAGACTTAATTTATTTCTTTGTTTTCTGTTAAAAAAAAGAAAAAGCCACCACCCAACAAATGTGTCTTTCTATCTCTACGAATCACTCGGTCAAAGTGCCTGCTATCTCGGAGTCCTTTCTGCAACCAAACAGTCATAAAATCTAGGGGCCCCTCACACTGCCCGACTGACTTCTTGTGGCTGGATTCAGACCTGCGGGGAGAGAGGAGGCGGTGAGGGCTTCGCTGCCGCGCGGAGGGTCAGCACCGAGGGTAGCTGAGGATGGCGCATGGTGGGCTGCGCCGGCTGGTGCTCCAGTGCCGGTCGCCTGCCCTGCGCTTGCCCCGCGCTCCCAGCGCCACCCGGCTCGGGCTCCCGCGCGGCTCCTGCTCGGCACGCCCGCCCGCCAGCCGCTCGCCTCGCCTGCCCGCCCGCCGGCGCACTCACACTCGGGCGCAGCCTCGGCGTCCTCCCCAGAGCCGCTCCTCCGTCCGGGCCGCACCGGAGGCAGCTCGGTGTGCTCTCTGCCCAGAGAGCCGCTGTGTGAGCGCGAGGCCAGCGGGAACTGATAATTAATCACCGGCCGGCAGCTCGTACCATGCGCTCCGTGATACGCGCCCTGCGCGCCCGGCTCCTCTTGCACAATTGCTGGCTCTGCGGCTCCGCGGGGGAGCCGAGGGTAAGAGGAAGCGAAGGGGAAACAACCCAGAAACTTTCATCTTGGACTGTGCTCAAGTGAGGGAGGGAAGTTCCCTGGTGCCTCCCTCCTTAGACACGTCTTGCTTTTTCAAAAGCCTACACCAAACCCACACAAAGCAAGACTTAGTTTATCATCCACACCGCACGAAAGTAGTCCTGACACATACACTGGGATTTTAAGTAGATGGCGACGCTTAAGAAATTGATGGTTCACCGATTTTGTAACTGCTTTTTAAATGACCTCTTTTGTATGTAAGAGTTCACAGAAATTAAATAGTTTGAGTTAGTTTTTTTTTGAAATTGTTGACTGAAGAAAGAAAGAAAATAATTTGTCACACTGTAAACTGCCACAAGTTTAAAATGCATTTGCCAAAGATAGAACATATAGCCAAGTCTTGCAGCATTTCAGATGGCAAACATTTTTATCACAGAGTTCTAGATAGGATAAATGGATGTGAATAAGGTGTATTTTGACATCCTGTAGAGGGACCCTGATTACTGCCTTTACAGTAAGCTGGGATTTAAATACAATCAACATAAACCCAATAAGCAACTCTTTATGTGCCATTTCCCATTCTTGCAAGTGAAAAGTTCATTTCCTTACAGAGATGCTCCTTGTCAGTGCAGCATGCTTTGAGAGAGGTGTTTTTCTGCCGCACATTCCTGCCTGGGTGGCTCTCTTGTGGTTGGAACACACTGTGTTTTCACTAACCTTAGAACCAAATAACTTGTGCCACACTTTTAAAATTAGATGTCACCTTCAGGGTTTTCCTTAAGTTAGTGGAGGTTCTGTGTGTGTGTGTGTGTGTGTGTGTGTGTATGTGTGTATGTATGTTTTGGAGGGGAAGATTGGTTTTGGTCTCCCTCTAGCTAGAAAAGAGTTAATAAAACCAGATAGAGATAATGATCAATTGATAAATGGCTATTGAACCACATAGATGGTGTTAGATTGCTTCTTTGGCACTAGCCCATTTCCAAGTAGATTTGAATCTAAGGAGACTTTAAGTCATGCAAAACATTTTACTAAAAAATAAACAAAAGTAAATTATACAAATGATGGGTCAAAAGTAGGAAAATATATCTTTTAGAGAAACTTGTACAACTAAGCTGTCATGATGTCGTTGATCCAGCTGTTTCTGTGTGGGCATACAAAAATCTGTTTTGTGGTGTACCTGTATTAAGTATGTGTAATAGTGAGCATTGGTGACTATATGAAAATAACCAAATTATAGGGAAGTAATTTATGCTTAATGATGCCATTTAAAACTAATATTAATTATACTATTTATGAAGGTTGAAAAATCACAATTTAAAAATGTATTATTACTTAACTATTTTTAGTATGTTTTCTTTATTATTTTTTTAAAATTTCAATGTAGTTAGCGATTCCCTCTCTCCCTTTTTTTCCTGTCATGGTTACTAAATATTTACCTTCTGTGCATTTTTGGAAAGCACGTAAAAGAGGGTATGAGTAACATGTGTATGTGTATGTTTTTCTCCTTCAAGATGACATTCCGGTTTGTATAAATATTGTGTAAACTTAAATTCAAACTATGTATATATCTAAGTCTGTGTGCTGTACATATTTAATGTTTGTTTTCCTTACCTATAGTTCATCAGCAGTGCTGATTCAGCATGAGTGTGTGTGTATGTGTGTGTGTGTGTGTGTGTAAGAGACACTATTGAAGTCAACAATTTTGAGAAATATTAGTTCAATATCCATATTAAGCCAATTTTTGTTACAGGAAAAAGTTTGTTCAATTTAATCAAGTATGCAAGATTTTGTATATCTCATTTCTAAGGCATAATAGGGTTTTTCTAGATGATTTTAATTTCTAAGTAAAAATTTATTCAGCTCATAAAATGAATAGAATTTATTTGGCACATTTTTTATTTCCAAATTTCACAGTATAAAAACTAATATTTCTCTTATTATTTCTTTAAACATTAGAAAAGATTGATGGGTAGGGCTATTATAAAATGTTTAAAAACTTTTAGTATTTAAGTAGAGAAAAATTTGTGGGAAATGTGTCTTATGATAAATTGGGAAGCAGGGATGTAAACATCTTTATCCTTTATTTAATATGTGCAAAGTTGGATTTCTTTAAATATAAATCTTTCATTCTGTCTAATGCTAAGAAAAAGACATTACAATCCAAAATCAGTTTAGATTTGGTGGGATTAATTATGTTCCCTAAAGTTTGAGATGTGACTGTTTGACTCCATTTTCCTCCTTCCAACATTGAAGCTTAATTTTCTTTTTTTAAAAAATCATTTCTTTATATTCAGATGAATATTTGAGAACCTTGAAGGGCATAACTATTGACTTTTGTAAAGGAGTTCTTGGGTCAGTTTGATCAGTGACAGGTCAAGAATGACCAGAAACCTTTCACTCTTCTCTGCTCATTTCCTATAGCCCAGAACCTTATTTTGTCCAGTATATGCTCATGAGATACTGTTAAAAGCAACAATTAAGGCCTGCTTTTGGAAAGTTCAAGAACATGAATATATATGTGTGTATAATATATGTATATATATATTAGACTTTAAAAGATGATTTTCCAATTTGTTATGTATTTTTTATAGTTTACAGAAATAGCAAATAAAATTCTTTTAATGAACTCAAGAGATGGAATAGTCTAAATTCTTAAGTCTTTTTAGAGAAACAAAACCATACAGGTAAATGACTATAGTCCTATAGTCCATATTTCACAAATTACTAGAGGCATTTATCTTTTAATATTGGTGAAGTATATTTAACCTGTTTCAAATAAAATGTAGATCCCTTAATAAGGTCTCCTTTCAGACTCAAGTGAAATACTAAGAATTATAAATGACTCTGTGCATCATTATGTAGTAATTTAGGATTCACCCAATGATGTAACAAAATTAACAACATAATTTCATTGTGAAACTGTGTCTTATTAAAGAACAACTGTCTGACATTCTCTTACAGTTGCTTTATTTAACTTCATGCAAATATTATTAGTAGTGACATTTTTCTATTGTGCATTAGATTCTCTCATTAGCATGATGTGTTAGTTATCACCAGAGAAATCATTTCCTAGATAGGTGAGGGGCAAACCAAGAAAGCTAAAAATTAAATCAGCGATTTATATTAATACCAGAGCATCTGCTCACCAGAGATATGACAGCAAAGTAAACTTTCTTGCTAGTATAAAATCTAGCATTTTTCAAAGAAATGATAAATAAAATATATTATAAGAAATATATAACAACATTGCTGGAATCCATTAAAAGCATGCTCAATATGAATTCTTCTCCCAATAGTTAGTTCTTTCAATTCATAAAGACAAAAGTACAGTCTCAGTTTGTGGGTTTTATATTTTAAAATGAAAATGATGGGTTTTTTTTCTGACTTCCTGCCCCTCCAGAAATAATTTGACTTTAAGTACTAACAATTTAAAAGGCACATATACAGTATTTCTTGTAAGTCAGATGCTTAATTGTGATGGTGGTTTGATTCTTTACAGTTCATACAATACATTTTCATTCTAAACCATATCCCACTCAAAATAGACATCTCCTTTAACATAGAATGAATTTTCTTGTTTAATAAGAGCCCTGAGTAAAGCAGTTGATAGTTAATGGTCTTTGAAAATGACTTTCATTGCCAGGCATCTTCCATCCCTAGGTTTCTTTCGGCAATTTTTCTCTCCTCCTCTTTTATTTCCTTCCTTACAGTTGGTGTATTTTGGTAATCATGTCTTTCTTTAAAAAAAAAATGACCAACCTTATGATCTCTGTGCTAAAATAAATATTTATATTAGGAGGCGTACAATTTTAGCCTGTTGAATTATTAGGCTTCCACCCTTGATTTAGGTTTCCCTCTAGTTTGAGTGCTAATATGTTTTATTTTGAAGTTTAAACACTAGTCATTTATTCAAATATAATTCTTAACATCCATTTTGATAATATAACACCAAAATAAGAATATTTAGGTATTTGTTAAAGTGGAAATTATAGCATAGAGACAGGTACTTATGTTTTGGCCTGTACTTTGCAAGTCTATGGCTAACATGCAGGTTTCACTTAACAGGTA